TGATTCAATCTGGCCTCTCTCTGCTCCTCCCTGTTGCTTTTAGGATGCAGAGATAATGTTCATTAGCGGAGACGGGCAGGGACTTTGGGAGGCTAATGCTTGCATGAGTTTAAGTGCAACTTTAACAGGCCGTGATGGGAGGATAATATAATCTGGCTGAAAGTGGAGCTTTGACTATTTTGTAGGATTGTTTGTTTATGAACATATGCACTGTGAAGCGTCTCTAGTGAATGATGGAAGGAGCGAGGCTTAGTTTCAAATCAAAGTAAGACTTTTTTCATCGTGTTGATATGTATGTGTTTAAAGTCTCACATTTGACTCAAAATATGATCAAAATCACGACTGTGAGGTTTACACAGTGACTCTCCGAGAAGTAATTCTAATCCCTTCGTTTTGGTTTAAAGTTTGCTGTTTTGAGGTTTATTTTCATGTTTATTCTTTTTTGTGTTCAGTTTGTTCATTGTCTCCGTGTGCTTCAGCCATTCTCAGTATTTTCCACTCTGCTCCTCTGTCAGCCTGCCACGCCCATCCACACCTGCTCCCTGTTTCAGCTGTCACAGCTGCAGCCACTTCTCTCATCAGCCCCGGTCCTTATAGCCTTTCAGCCACCACTCACTCCTCAGTGGAGCATTGCACATTATTTATGGCACATCTTGATATTTATGTGTCCATCCTTAGTTTGTAAGTGCTGCTGTGATGTCAGTCTTTTTGATTTCATTACGAACTATATATATATAAACAATGATCTTCATGCTAGTTTAAAACTTTAATAATTAACACGTTAAGTTTGCTCTTCGTGGTTGTCACGTTTCATTCTTTTTGTTGGTGTAGGTTTAGAGTTTTTTTTGTTTTGTTTTCTGTTATGTCAGTTCCTGTTTTCCCAGATTGCATAAAATAATAATTAATGATATAAACTTTGTAGATAAAAATAAAATGCAATAACATGGTTTTGAGTAATCTTTTAATCAACGAGATCTATCCTGGGTCCTCCAAAAGAACATTTTAATAAAAAAAATTAAAAAAAATGTTTAACAAACAAGAATCAGAAGAAAACTTTTGAAATTTCCATTCCCTCCTAAATTTAAAGAAATCCATTTTAAAACTGTAAATGAAATTTACCCTTCAAAGGAGTTCTTTAAAAGAATATTCAATTTTGAAATGGAGAATTGTTATTTTTGTAAATCTTTGTTGGAATCAACAGACCATGTTTTACAAATGTGAGATTTTCAGTGGTTTTTGGAAGGAGTTGCATAACTAGTTGATATTTAAGTCTCTTCAAATTGATTTTTTTTCCTTGAAAGAAATCAAATTTGTAATTTTAATAAAGAATATTAAAAAAATGAATATTTGATAAATAATATTATATTGTTTGCTAATTTATACTTTCATAAATGTCGTTTTACAAAAGCTCTTCCAATTGTAAAAGCATTTAAAAATGAGTTTATTATTTGGCAAATTAAAAAAAAAAATTACCATAATACAGCCCCTGCTATCAAACTTTTCGTTATCATATCAGAGTTTAATGTGTTATAAACCCCACGTTCTAGCTTAATTTTTGCTTTTCAAATCTTAATTGACTCTGATTTCCTTAAGTTTTCTTTTTTTTTCTTTCTGTTTTTCCCCCCTGTTCAATTGTCTATATTCTGATGTTAATAATACCACAGTTATACTAATATGTTATATTCTTGGATAACATTTTTTGTTATTGATAGGGAGATTTAGTTATATGTTAGCTGAAATAGATTTGTTAAATATGAAATTGTCATTGCCATTTTTTGTATGTTTTTTGTTATTATTGTTAAAATAAATAAATAAAACCTTCAGTTCCTGTTGTATTTTGAAAAACCAGGATCTTTTTGCCAATATTTTCCAGTTCTACTTCCTTTTTCCACACCCAAAGTTTAAATCCATTGCAGCTGGTCCTCATTTTCTCATTTGTTCTTCTGGTACAGTCCCTGGTTTTCAGTTTTGTTCAGAGGTGCCTAATCCTGGTTCTCGAGGGCCACTATCCTGCATGTTTCAGTTGTTTCCCTGCTCTTCAGCAGCTCTTCCAGTTCTGCAGAATCCTGTTAATCACTCGTTCATTCAAATCAAGTGTGTCAAAGCAGAGAAATGTCTAAAGCAGGCAGGATCGTAGTCCTCAAGGACCAGGACACCACTGGTTTAATTAGTCTTATCTGATTGATGGTCATTCAGGCTCTTCTAAAAATTGAATCATTTTTCATTCAACCTTTATTTAGACAGGTAAATCCCATTGAGCCTCGAGGACTCATTTACAAGAGAGACCTGATTTCAACTAAGAAAGATGACAACAATGGACAACAGCAACAACAATAAACAATTATAAAAAGTCATACTGCAGTTTTTTTTTTTTAGTTTATTAAATCAAAAATTAGATTCAGCTCTATAAAGCTCTTTATGTGTGGCAAGCTGCCTGTGAGATCTTTTGGAGCCAGTTCATTATAGCGAGCTGATCAAATGATCAAAATCTTGAAAAAGAGCTAGAAGTCCCTTTTACGACTTAATTAAAACCTTTCAAAAAGATCTGAAGCTCTGGACCTTGACCTCCCTAAGGAATTTCAAATTACTGTTAAGTTCAATGCAAACATCAATGCCATGTTCCAGCTTTTAGTATCTTACACCATTTTATAATGTAGCATGTCTTTTTATTGTTTTATATACTTTATTTTATATACTTTTCATTTTATATGCTTTTATATGAACGTGTGTACCTAATTTATGTTTTTTATTAAAAACAGGTCTCGCTTGTAAACGAGTCCTCGTGACTCAATGAGACTAACTTGTATAAATAAAGGTCGAATGAATTATTATCTCACTAGGTTTTCTCTGTTAGGAAATGGTGGATTGTCAGGAAAATACCTGAATATTCAACTGGAATCGCAGATGTTTGCACAAATTCCCAACAGACTGTGAGTCAAAATCTGCCTGCAGTTTGCCAGCGTCCCTCCACAAAACGCATTTCTAAAACATCAGTACAAAATCTGTATTTAGACAAGTTCCAGATGCCCACAACAACTCTGTGACTAGTCTGAATATAAATGAGTCGTGGGACATTTCTGAGCAAGTTCAAGATTTCTGCAACACGAGCAAAATCCTGAGACTCACGTGCAGAAATTAAGAACCCTCATGAAACATTTTCAGACATTTAGGGAACTATTTTGCGAATGCTATCGAAATTTGTCACCAAGTCATAGTCCAATAATGGCATAGTCCAGCAATACAAGCTCGTGTTTCTTGCTGCCCTACCTTTTTGTACTGGTTTCCTGCTGTTTTTGCATTTGCAACCTTGAGCTCTCTTCAAATATTTCCATAAAGACTTTAGGACTATTATCTGCTTCCTGGGTGTCTGCATTTGGATCTTCTGCCACCAGATCAGAGCACATCTTGGTGTTTTGATGAATGCTGCCAGTCAAATTGATATTGATTAGCTTTGCTGTTGTGTTGTGATCATTGCAGCTCTTCTCGCTCACACTAGATGCTGTTGTTTCAGTTGTAAGCTGGCTTTCTTTGTTTCCCTACATAATGCATTTTGTATTGTCTCGTAGCTGACACTTCTTTGTGGAGTTAAATGTTGGATCAAAACATTAGACTATTCGCGCTCATATTTTGAGTTTTGTACACTTATTTTAAATTATATACAGTGAGAAGCCAAAGGTTTATCACTTGTCTTCACAGCCTCGTTTCATTTTATACAGTTACTAATGCACATAAAATCGTGCACCACGACACATTCATTGCTCTTTCCGGTACTGAAGGTTTCTGTTCAACTCTAAACATTAACACCTGCTTTTTTATTTACTTTTATATACAAATGTATTTAAAAAGTAGTTCCACAGGTATTTTACGTTGTGATAGCTAAATGTCCTCAAAGTATAATGCTGCAGGAAATGATTGCAGAGCAGAAACATGTAGATATGAAAACAATTTTTAGACTTAAGTGTACTTCAAAGAACCAAAAGCATGCATAGATCTATCTAGACAGCAATGCATCACAAAATACCAACATTGAGCGTGCACATTAGAATCTGTGAAAAGGTCAGGTGAAGGAGCAACTATCTGGACAGCAATGTGAGCCTTAGAGCAGTGATTCTTAAACCTTTAAGCTTTTCACACAAAAATAACCGCAGCAGACATTCGAGACCCAGACTGTCTTTGGCTGATGTGTTCAAACATGGCTCATCTGCCTATTTAATAAGGTCATAACGACAAAAACAATCATCCTCATCAACCGTTAGACCATTTTAATCAATCCATGCTTTCATTTTTTATCTCTTGAAAGAAACGTCTCATTAGCACCCATTTTAAGTTGGAAAATCATCCTAAAGAGACCCAAATTGGTGTCACCCCAACCATTGACATAGTAATTAATTTTCTTATTTAGTTCCTGAAATACTGTTTTCTCATTGAGGGTTAATAAAATAATCTATTCAGATCAAATTTTCTCTATTTGGCAACTCTAGATGAGGTCTATAAAGAAGTTCTTATTAACATAAAGGGTGCATAAATCTGTAACTCATTTATTGGATCAGAGAAGTGCGGGGGTGGGGTGGGGGGTAATCGCCTCCTGTCTGTTGACACATTCTGCAGCCCGGTGGGAAGGAGATGAGAGGAACCAGAGCGTTTAAATCCTTACAGAAAGGCCAGTTTGATGAGAGTAAAATCAACGTTCCCCAAACTCCCAATATTTCCCAGAAACATTGTGTCAGCTGTCACAGGAGGCGGACTCTGATCCCCCACTGCCGGGGTTTCTCTGCGCGCAGTCCCAGAGCCAGGACCGGCGGAGGAGTCCGTGCGCAGCTCCTCTCCATGCTGCCTCCTTAACTCCTGCCTTTAACTTGCGGGATGAAGCCGCTATAGTTCACGCCTCCCAAACTGTGCTCCAAAAGAGGACAAAAAAAAAAAAAAAAAAAAACCCAGAGAGGACCACAAAGACCGTCTCCATCAGTAAGTTTTCCAGCTTGCCGCACTGGAGTGGAGGAAGGATGGCTGTCCCCGTGAAAACCGTGCTGCCTCTTCTGGTTCTCGCCGTGGCAGGTGAGTACTTCCACCCAAATACTTATTGAAACCGGACAGGAGAATGTCAAGTGGTTCTGTCCTCTAAAAAAACACTCACTGGAATTTGTGCATGTAGCCATGACGCATGTAGTTGCGTAAAGGACTAAATGACTGTCTTTTAAAGGATTTCTAGGAGGGTTTCCCTCATTTTTTGGAGAAATTGCAGCTCATCTTAGAGAATCTGTGGAACCTGCATGATTTTCAGTTAGCCCCAGTTAAGTTGTCTTGAAACACTTTGAGTCCTGGGACTGATTTTAAAGGTAAACTTGACTTGTTTTCACACGCATCCAGGGGCGTCAAAAGAAAGTTATTAAAAGGGGGGCCTTTGAAGTAGCACAACACAAGGTACAACATAATTTCCATATATATATATATATATATATATATATATATATATATATATATATATGTATGTATGTGTGTGTGTATGTGTGTGTATATATGTATATATATGTATATGTATGTATTTATGTATGTATGTGAAGTCAAGAATGTAGGACTGAGGATCACAGTTCTAAGTGTGGGGACAATGACAGGCAATGATGCAGAGAAGGAAGGTAGATGTTTTATGTGTCCAAAAGATCAAGTGAAAGGGCAGCAAGGCTTGCAATAGTGGAGCAGGGTTTAAACTGTTTAACCATGGTCTGGATAGAAAAATAAATGGAGTAGGGGTGGTCCTAAAGGAGGAGTTGTCAAAGAATGTAGTAGAGGTGAAAAGAGTGTCTGATGTGCCTGAAGGTAGAAACAGAAGGTCTGATGCTAAATGTTGCCAGTGGTTATACTCCTCAGGTTGGATGTGATGTAGAGGAGAAAGATAAATTTTGGTAGGATCTGGATGAAATGATAAAGAGCATTCCAGGAGTGGTGATCAGAGCAGACTTGAATAGACATGTTAGTGAAGGAAACAAAGGGGATGAGGAAGGTCTGGTGTCAAGGAAAGAAACCATGAAGGAATGATGGTGGTGGATTTTGCCAAAAGAATGGAAATGGCTGTAGTCAACATTTATTTCAAAAACAGGGAAGAATTCAATTCAGTTCAGTTTAAATAGCACCGAGTCACAACAGATGCCATCTCAGGGCACTGAACAGACACATTCATATACAGTTTATAAAAAATAAGTTGTGACCTATAAGAGTGGAGGCAGGAGTATGCAGGTAGATTACATCCTGTGCAAAAGAGGAAACCTGAGGGAGACTTGGGACTAAAAGATTGTGGCTGGGGAGAGAGACCAGACAGCATCCAATAGTTGATTGTAGAATGACTGTTGTGAAGAAGAGAATTAGAGTAAAATCAGAGAAGAAGGCCAAATGGTGGAAGCTGAAGAAGAAAGAATATTGTGAGGAGTTCAGAGAGGGGCTGGTAAAGGCTCTGGGTGGTAAGAAAGAGCTTCCAGATGACTGGACTACTACAGCAACAGTAATTAGAGAGACAGGTAGGAAGGTACTTGGTGTGTCATCTGGACAGAGAATAGATGATGAGAAAACCTGGTGGTGGAATAGTGAAGTGCAAGAAACTATTCAAAGAAAGAGGTTAGCCAAGAAGAAATATGGCAGTGAGAGGACTGAAGAGAGGAGACAGGAATATAAGGAGATGCAATGTAGAACAAACAGGGAAGTAGCTAAGGGAAAGCAGAAGGCATATGATGAGTTATGGGAGGCTGGACACCAAAAAGGGTGAGAAGGACTTGTACCGATAGGCCAGACAGAGGGATCAGGCTGGAAAATATGTGCAGCAAATTAGGCTTGTTAACGATAGGAATGGTAATGTTCTAACAAGTGAGGAGAGTGTGATGGGAAGATGGAAGGAGTATTTTGAGAAACTAATGAATAGAGAATGAAAAAGAAAGAAGAATAGAGGTCATAGAAACTGTGGACCAGGAAGTGGGAAAGATTTGTGAGGGTGAAGTTTGGAAAGCTCTGAAAAGAATGAAGAAGGGGAAAGCAGTAGGACCTGATGACATACCAGTGGAGATTTGGAAATGTCTTGGAGAGATGGCAGTGAGGTTTTTGACTCAAATATTCAATAGAATATTTGAGGTTGAGAAAATGCCTGTGGAATGGAGAACTGTGCTGGTGCTCATCTTTAAGAACAAGGGTGATGTACAAAGTTGTAGCAACTAGAGGGGAATTAAGTTGATGAGTCACACAATGAAGATCTGGGAGAGAGTTGTGGAAGCTAGACTTAAGACGAGAGGTGACTGTGAGCAGCAGTATGGTTTCATGCCCAGAAAGAGCACCACATACTGTTTGCCATCTTTGCTTTGAGGATGTTGATGGAGAAGTACAGAGAGGGTCAGAAAGAACTTCATTGCTTCTTTGTGGATTTAGAAAAAGCATATGACAGAGTGCCACCACAGCTAACCTTAACCAGACCAGAAACGGCTATAAGTTATCCAACTTTACAAATATGGAGCCAAATTTTGACGTAGTAGCCGCTGAGAGTCATTCACTACGGATACTCTGAGTGTGAGATCCAGCATTATTGCAAGAGATTTTGCATATTGTATTTTTTTGACCAAAATGACTTAAAGTCATTTATAAACACGAAGCAATCTGAGTTGATTTTCTGGCATGAAAGGCAGTGGGTGATACACACTCCTTAAAGGAATGCTAGGCCTTTAGTTTAGTCTGTATTTCCACAAATTGCTATGTGCTACGTTTGTAGTTGAATTGTTTAAGTGTGGCTTTTAACAATGCAACCAAACAAATCTGATGACAACAAGTACAAAGTCTTTAAACCCATTCTGTACAGACATATTTGAACCAGGTCTCATTTTGTTTTATGGTTATCGCCTCTTTCTCTTCATCCTTTGCACCTATCATTATTTGTTGCTGCTTGCCACATTTTTCAGTTATAAATTATATTTTTTGCTTTCCTCCAAGCTTTTACGTGGTGGTTCTAAAATATACTCGTTCTGCCTGTCTTATTAGTTAAGCTTTATGAGGAAACTTTAATAAGAGTGGACTAAAACGTGCAGGATATTTCACCAATTCTAAAGTTTGTCATGACTTGTAAATCACTTTTCTCTTGTGTTATGCGTCAGCATGGACCAGCACCAGTGAATCAACACTTCATGTCAAAGTAGCAGTCATTGTTTGAGAAAAATAGTTTGGATGCTGTTCTCTGAGAGAGCGACACGGGCAGGTGAGGTGAGCCATCAGGCAGTGCAGACCAGAAGCAGCAGTTTCATGTAAAAGGAGCACAGAGACAGAGAACAGAAGAAAGCCATTTCTCTCACATTGGATGTTCTTGTCTCTTCTTTGCTCTAAACCTGCACATGTTTCAGTGACTTCTCATGAGAAAAGAACAAGAAGTACAAAAAGTGTCACAAGTGAGTTTGTGACTTTCCGTTTTAAATGGAAGGACCATCTCGGACAAAGAAAAGACCAACAAAGCTTGTCAGATTAAAAAATCCTCAATGGTCAGTCAGAAGCTCCACTTGGAACAACGTCAAATGTCTCATAATTCAACTACATGGGGGTGGACGTGTATAAATGGCACATGGTTGTACTGAGTAAAGCCAAAGATCGCTGAAGGCTGAATTGTTTTGGTTCACCACAGATAGCATTGCATTGAATAATTCACTATTTTGGAAAAGAAAGCTACAGGATGCAGATTATTTAGTTTTTGTGCTGCCTGAGGTTATTCGTCCATCTGCTTCATTCGAACACAACCGCATGTTTGTATCGTTCGTTGTTTGGTTTTACGTTATCTGTGTGTCCCGATGGCCACTGGGGATATTTTCTGTGGGAGAAAAGGACCTGAAAAATAATCTCTTCTGGTGTTTGAATCTCTGTGCATCAAAGATGATGGTATTTTTTATTTTAGCAGCTATGAATTATTGAGGTGTGGAGAGTGCAGCGATGTGAACAGGGGTGTGTTTGTGTGCGTGTGTGCATGCATGTGTGTGTTATGAGACCTGCCGGTAGACACAAAGCTCCATCTCGACTTGCACTAACTTCTGGATCTCAGTTTTACCCTATTCACGGTTTTAGCATTTACCGTTAAATTAGTACCTTACTATTAATATCAGTTCAATACAAACCTAGTCACACCTCTTCATGTCTAATTTGACTTTGACTAATTTGTCAAAGTTTATACACATACTGTATATAACTTGTGTATACCATTCACTGTGTGAATGTTGGAACTCTGGGTTTAAAGTTATTTTTAGTCAATCTGGATGTTGTGTGTTAAAGTTGCTATAAGTCCCACATTCTTCCTGCATTGCTCCTTTCCATGAGTTTGCTCATATAGAATTTCAACAGTTCTGCCCTCGTCCACATGTCTTGTTCTAGTATACCTTTTCTCATCAGAATGATCTGTTTCCCAGCATCTGACACAGAGATTGTCATTCTGGACACCTTCAGAACTAGCAACTAATTATGCATTGGGTTGATAAGAGGATGGCTGAATCAGGGTTTGAGCCCCTGATTCTCTGTTCCAGAGTTGTGCCACGTTACCACTGTTCCGACTACTCAGTTTATAAAACTACAGAGCAAGACAAGCAATACATGTAGTGATCCCAAGCTTTATGAAGTAAAACAAGAAGGTTGAGAAATACCAAGGACTGAAGGACGTTACGCTGTGACGCTGTGACGCTGTGGAAAGTCAAGGCCTCCGTGGTGCCAGTGAGCAACAGAGAACTTTGAGCTGTGACCCCCAAACTGGAAGAATGGCTCCAGCAGATCAGGAACAAGCTCAGAGATCTCTGTCCAGAACGGCTCCGTTCTAGGACCAGCAAAGTTTCTGTGCAACCTTCAAGCCACGACTTATGATATCAGTCAACTGCCAGAACAACAGAAATATATAATAATAATAATAATAATAATAATGTCATCACAATGTCAGCACTGTATGTTTCCATACAATGGCGAAATTAGTCTCTGCATTTAACCCATCCACCACCAGGTGGTGCAGTGGGCAGCTATTGAAAGCGCCCGGGGGACATTTTGGGAATTAGACGTGCTGCCCAGAGACGCCACGTGATGTGCAGTGACTGGGGATCGAACCTGGGACTCTCGGGTCCCAAGCCGGCTGCCCTGCCTCTACACCATCTCGGCCCCATAATGAGAGACTTACCAAAAGAATGTTGAAACTTGTCCATACATGAGGATCTAAAACCTGCCAAAGGATGCCTCAAAGCTCTGGCTATCTGTCTTAAGATGTAAACTCAAGAACCACCCAAAATGTACTCAGTGGCAGGGGAACAACATGAGACTAGGCCCAGCCAGAGCTGAGACTGAGTAAAACTAATGCATGTGAGAAAAGCTCAAGTTCAAGTAGGTTTATTGCCATTCACATCACATGTGGTACATGAGGTGGAATGAAATTATGTACACAGGGTCCCAGTTATACCTAACAATAGCAAAAATATAATACAACAGTATATAAGGATGTAAGATATACACTGATATGCTAAACGAATGTCAAATGACATGCCAAAAAGGCTAAACACTAATAATGCAAAAATACGGCGTAACAACAGCAGTCCGAACACGAGTCCGTGGTGAGTGGATGGCTACAAATGAATACAGCAGCATGAAATAATCAGCCGCATGAGATCAGAAAAGCATCTAAGGCTACAGGTTCGAAGGTTACAGCAAGCTCTCAGAACAAGAATTTGTGTGCATCGAAGTGGAAGATGTCTAAAACAGTCTCAAGTAAAGATTAAGATGGCACCAGGGCCTGATATGATCCACACCTGATGGCTACAAAACATATTGCTCTCCATGAGCACCCATCAGAACAAATAAAAAAAAAAACCCTGTATTGTTTTTTATTGTTTGTTTTTAGTTTTTGTATTGTGAAGCACTTTGTGCACTTGTTGGCTTGGCTCTGTAATTAAATGTTGATTGATTGACAATTATTGCATATTTTTCAGACACTCAGGCGCAGGCTTGCATATTTTTCCATGATTTTTTTGCACATCATTTTCACCGGATATTTGCTTGTTTCAGCATCTTATTCACAAAGCAAGTTGTGTTAAATCCACGATGGTGCAAAAATGTCCAGTGGGTAACCAGAGCTGTGTGAACAATCTGCTCTTTTTTTCAATTCAATTCAATTCACTTTATTTATATAGCACCATATCACAACAAAGTTGTCTCAGGGCACTTTACAAGAACATTACTACATAGAAAGGCCAATTAGTAAAGTTCTCTATCTAAGGAATCCTGCAGACAAGTTGAATCTTGGCTTTGTTGTAGTCTCCCATCCTGAGCAAGCACAGTGGCAACAGTGGAAAGGAAAACTCCCTTTTAAAAGGAAGAAATCTGCAGCAGAACCAGGCTCAGGACAAGTGGCCATCTGCTTTTACTGGCTGGTTGAGAGGACAGGAAGGAGAGACAGACAATCATAGAATGGTAGGTCCAGGTGTATCTGAAAGACAAAAAACACACATGTTAAGGATAGAAAAAAAATTACAAATACAAAACAGGTTGAGCAGAGTAAGTAAAGACAGTAGCAGAGTGAAAAAGTGTGGTCAGTTTGTCCTCCAGCAGTCTAAGCCTATAGCAGCATAACTAAGGGACAGCTCAGGAAACCCAAGCCGACCCTAACTATAGGTTGGTTCCACAAGGGAAGAGCCTCATAACTGAAAGATCTGCTTCCCATTTTGTTTTTGTAAATTCTAGGAACCACAAGTAAACCTGCAGTCTGAAAGCAAAGTGCTCTGTTTGGAAAATATGGAACAATAAGATCTGTAATATAAGATGGAGCCAGGTTGTTGAGACCTTTGTAGGTTAGAAGTAAGATTTTGAATTATATTCTGGATTTGACAGGGAGCCAATGGAGAGAAGCTAAAACTGGAGAGATATGATCTCTCCTACTAACTCCGATTAAAACTCTGGCAGCAGCATTTTGGATCAACTGAAGACGTTTTAAAGAAGTATTTAGACATCCAGATAATAAACCATTGCAATAGTCCAGTCTAGACGTGACAAATGCATGGACCAGTTTTTTTGCATCATTTTTAGATAAGATGTTGCTAATTTTAACGATATTATGCAGCTGGAAGAAGGCAGTTCTAGTAACGTTTTTAATGTGGGGATAAAAGACCTCTTGATCAAAAATAACACCAAGATTTTTAACATTAGAGCTGGAGGACAGATTAATGCCATCAAAACACAACAGCTCAATTATCCTCACTGCACAACATGTTATATGTGAATGAATTGCATGGTAAAAAGTTAGACAGGTAAAACTCATTGTCCTCATTATTCTTTCATCACAGCTAATTAATTTCAGCATCCTGCATGACTGGTGAGAGCAAACACATTTCTATCATGTTTATTTCAGTGTGGGAGTGTGGCCGTATTGTGCCTTTTCTCATTTTGATTATGTTTAATGGAATTTAATAGCACATTAGCTGGATCAAAGCGGGCAACAACTGAGAGGAACGTCTCCTTATGATCAGGAAGAAACTTCAGAACCAAGTTTAGGATGAACAGTCGACCAGCTGGGAGTTAAGAGGACACACGACAAACACAGAGGAGAAAGAAGGAAATGCAAAGTTATCTGAAATATCACAGAATCTGAAATTTCATGGTGCCTCTGTTCAAGAATAACTACAATTTTGTGGTCAACAAGACAAAAGAATAATTAAAACAACAGCCTGTAAATTAAACACTGCCTTCAGCTTACAAATGATTAGATTCTACCTCATGTCACATGACCCAAAAATGTAACACGGTAATACAAAACACGTGAAGAGTTGATTCCAATAGTTTATTATATTTTTTGCTTCTGTCCGTAAACAGCTGCCTTGTGTGCAGAAGTAGAGGAGAGGCTGGTGAGTCACCTGTTGTCACCGGAGCGTTATAACAAGCTGATCAGACCAGCCATCAACAACAGCCAGCAGGTCACCATTTACATACAGGTGTCTCTGGCCCAGCTCATCAACGTGGTGGGTTAACACACACACAAGTTCAAAACCATGAAGGTTGTTTGAAATCATTGAGCCTTGTGCATTTGTGTTTCAGAATGAGAGGGAGCAGATCATGACCACCAACTGTTGGCTCACACAGGTTTGTGTGCACACCTAGAATTTTTTATTTTATTTTGTTGTTGCAGAAGGATTTGTGTGTGAGATTACAGTAACTCTAAGGGGCACGGCAAGCGTTCCAGTCACTGCCGCACATGCACACGTACAAACACACCCTGGCATGTGTTTAGGTTAGTGGCAGCGCAGCGGTTTGTAGAAAAATGTGCAAAGACATATAGCCAGTTCAGTGGTGAGGTCAGCCCGCGGCACGTTGGGCAAAGACGTCGGTGAACTCCCATTTTTCAAATGCATTTTGACATCTGACTCAACCATTATTTGTATGAAGGAAACAACATGTTTACATGTGAATTTATTTATCTCACTATGTCACTGTGACTCCTGGGTCTTTTCATATTTGTGTGAATGTTTATGAAGCATTCACACTATTGTGATCCATTTTTCTTCTGTGCGTTTTTTCAGCATCTTTCTCGTTCCACAATTTTTGGTCTATTTCAACAAATCATACATCAAAACGTTCAGCTATGACTTTTGGTATTGGTGCAACTTTAGCCTTTTCTGTTATTTTTTCCTCATACGAAATTAATTGAGCTCATTTGACATCCTTCAAATCTTTAGCTCTGTTTACAACCGTTTACTGCTCCGTTCACATTTTGTTCTGCTTCAGCTTCTATCAGTGTCATTGTGTAAATTCAAACCTTTTTAGCTACTTTCAGCTAATTTCAGCTGTTTCCTTGATCCTTTTTGAGTCTTTCTCCTAGTTACAACACTTTTGTGCTTCTTCTAAATTATTTCTGCTTGCTATGTTCCTTTCAGCTTAATTACGCTAGTTTCAGCTATTTCTGCTATTTCAACTACTATTTAGCAGTTTTTATACAAATTTTAGCTTTGTCAGTTAATTCCACATTTTTTTTAGCCTTTTTTTTTATTCAACCTTTATTTATACAGGTTAGTCTCTATTTTCCACTCTTTGCTTCCTTCTGATAGTTTAAGCTTTTTTCTGCCTTTCAGCTACATTTCAGCCATTTTTATTCTACTTTCAGTTTCTTTAGCAACTTTCCTAAATTTTCTGCTAATTTCTGAATATTTAACCTCATAGGACCTGGCATCCACATATGCAAGAGTTTGGGTCTTAGGAGGTTAAATATATTTCAGCAAATATGTATTCTTTCTGCTTTCTTCTGCTAATTTAGGCTTGTTCTTTCATTTAATCTACATTTCAACGTTTTTGTTTTAGCTACTTTCAGCTGTTTTTAGCAAGTTCTTCTGCAATAAGCATTCACTATTTCTCTAGTGCTATTTATAATTGTGATCTTCATTATCAGTTCTTGTAACTGTTGATTGTATATATTTATTTGCATGCATTTGTCTGTATTTCGACAGGGATGGAATGACTACAGGTTAATGTGGGATCCTGACCAGTATGAGGGAATTAAGAAAATTCGACTCCCATCACAACACATCTGGCTGCCAGACATCGTCCTCTATAACAAGTATGATGACAATTTTTTTCTTTATGCATCTCACTTGTTATCATTTCATGTAATTAATCACTTAGTGTTTTGTTAACATCATACAGGGTCTGTCATGAGTTTAACAGATCATATAAAACCAAACAAAATATATATAAATACATAGAAATGGAGATTTCTTGACACTGACATTAAACTATGGCTGCATAGTATTGTTACTTTTTACATAGCAGTACAGATTATATATATATATATAACTGTATACTGTACACCTGTAGTATGTACATATACTGATATATATTCATACTGTTAAAATGGATTCTTTCATTTTTCTGGACTGTATAATGACGTGCATCTGAATTAATAAAATGTGGACGGAAACGTTAATTATCTTTGACTCACCAACG